CCCCAGCCGCGGGTCCGCAGCCGCCAGCCCGGCGCCGGGCGCCGCCGCCGTCATGCCGGGACACGGGCTCCCCGTGCCGCCGCCGCGGAGGAAGGTAGGGGAGGCGCCGAGGGGACGTTAGCGCGGGAGAGCGGGCAGAGGTSCCGCTCCAAAAAATCTCCAATTCCGTCTTCCCTTCCGCCCCCCGACTGGCTCTGCYTCACCCCCGCGCTGGGTTCGGCTGCAGAGAGGGAAAGCGCGGGGCGCCAGCCGAGTTCCCCCGCGCTCCGGGCACCGCCGCGTTCCCGCCGGGACGGGGAGGAGGCGGCTGCTCCCTCCGGGCGTGGRAGGGCCGGGCCCGCTGCCCGAGCGGGTCTGGGCCGGGGGTAGACGTGGGGAGCCGCTGAAAAGCCGCCCCGAGCGGGTAGGGAGCGGTGGGGCGGAGGAGCAGCGGCAGCCCCGCCACCCAGCACGGGGCCCCTGAGTGAACTCAGCCCTGCCTCGGTCTCCGGCACAAAACAGAGGAGGAAACGCTAAACGCATTCTTTGGGGGAAACCTGGGCCCTACTGCCAGAGTGCTCGGTTCGGCAAAACCCTGAYTCCCTCTGTGATGATAGCCCTGCATTTCTCTCGCTCGGCTCTGGGTAGCCTGCTTTCCTCTSGCTTTGCCTTCGGCTGGAGTCGTGTGCAGCCTGTGGCTTAACAGGGTGGCATTTCTGACTCCCGCTGGGGATCKATGGGAGTCCCCATTCACCTGTCCCGGGGACAAAAACTCTTTTTTGCCTTTCCGCTCTTGTAACCAGGGATGGTGGGTGCTAATGGATTAGGCATGGTGTTGGTGGAGGGAAAGTTGTTTGGGAAGGGAACAAGGAWGAAGTTACAGCTGGCTGCTGCCGTGGTCCCAAGGTGTCAAATGCAAACGGGAGGATAAAACCACGCCAAGTGTATTTGGGACGCTTTCAGAGGCTTTGGCTTTATGAGCATCCAAGAAGCATGGATCTTGATGCTCGGGGCTGGAAGAGGGATAGTCATGGGGAGTGAGGCTTTCTGCCTGCTTGGGTCTGCCCTGGAACCTCCTTGCAGGAGAGAAAGTGGTAAACATGGGCACTTAGTCCTGGTCTTTACAAGGAGGCAGCTTGTTTCCAACACAGGTCAGTAAGTTGATCCTCATCCCGAGGTATTCCCAGCCACTTTTGCTCTTGACATTTAAGTAATTGTTTAAGTTTGTTGCTTTTGGAAAAGAGCATCTCCAGCCTGAAATTCAGCTGGCGAGATAAAAGAGATGACCCGAGGGATTTCCGTGGCGGTTTATTTGCTACTGTGAGGGGAGCTGTTGGTATTGGTGGTGGATTAAAAAGCTGTTTTCTGTGKTGGCTGCCACCTTACTGACCACTCGTTCTTGGTGTGTGGTAGTGAAGTCCAATAATGTGTACTGGCTCTGCGTTTTTGGAACCACCAAAAAGGGAGTTGTTATTGTATCCTGGCAGAAGAAAGGAATGCATTTCCTCCACCCTTGTGTTGTGTTCTGGATTGCTGTCATTGGGGTAGTGTTTGTGGGGCTTGGTGCTTGTTGGGCTTGAGGGGTTTTGTTTGGTTGTTGTTTGGGTTTTTTAAACAGTCCAGACAGCGTTTTGGCCTGTGAAAATGGGTAACTGCTATGTTGGGTCAGGCTTGGAAACAACTGAAAATGCTAAGTATGGAAATCAGAGGAAAGCCACAGCATTTCCCAGGGTAATAAGGCGCCTTTTTGAGAAACAAAAGAGAAAGCACTGAAAACAAAGGGCGCTGGAGTGACAGGGGATGTAGAAAGCAGACGAAAGATTTAAGGCTCTGCTGGGACCACTCTCTGCCTGCGTGGGTGAGAAGGTTGTGTGCTGAAGCCTGGCATGGCCTTTGGCACATCCCAGTCCACACAGAAGATCCTCCCTGTTTACCAGCTCAGACCCAAAGTGCAATATTCCTCAYAGGCCACCAGTGCATGTGGAGTGTCCCAAAGTGCTCCTTTCATTACTGTCCCCATCTCGCTGCCTTGGGAAAACTTTTAGGACATTTTGTCTGCAGAGACAGCCTCTGTCTGTGCTGTCTGTTCTCCAGAAACAAGAAGAGCATTTACATCCCTTGTCAGGCGCTTACAATAGGCTTGTCTTTCTCCCTTGCCTGGCACATTCACATGTTAGAAATGTTCATTTTGACAAGAAGATAATTAAAAATAAACACCATGTAAGCTGTGTTTTTTAGAGGTRATCTTAATTCAGGAGCAGCTTTTCCAATGAGTTGTTCTTAATAACAGCCATAGCAACTCATTCATATGGACAGAACTTATCATCTCTATTTTGCTGGGTGTTCTGGGCACACAGAAGCAAGCTCAATCCTTGCCCCAAGTTTAAGAAATTTACAGATTAAATCATCACGCAAAAGCTAGTCTCTTAAACATGGAGAGAAGCTGGGTATTTCAGAAGTGTCTGATAAGTTTCATTTTCTTTGGGGTCCCTGGTTCATTCAAAGCAGCTGGTTCTCCCTTGCTTTTGTAGCACCTGACTTTTATTTCCTGACTGGAACTGTATGGAAGCTGCTCCTCCTAAGTGGAGGCCAGACCAAGGGGAGAAAAGGCTCTGTAGTGCACCATTAAGTTGAGAGTGGAGAARAACCTCTCTTAAACTCTCGTTGAAGCTGGTTAATTGTGATTATCAGCACTCTCAGGCCTTCAGAACTGGGCTATAAGCTCTTTAGGGAAGCATTTTTAGCGGAAGGATTTAAGTGCTGGTGGCTGATATGTCTGTTGGCAGGATCCCAAGAGCTGGCTGGAAGAGGCCTCTACTATGAAAGAAATGCTGAAATAGGACTTTTAATGCACTTGCATAGAGTTCCTCATGGGCTGAGAAGGCTCTCCGCGGGGAAGAAGGGAGTGGGCTGGAGCTGGAAAGAAATTTTTTTTGTTTCATTCAAGTCCTTGACAATAAATGAGCGATCCTGGCTTTGCTCAGATACAGCTCAAATAACATTGTATCTGAGGGGTGCGGATACAGTCAATGTTTTCTTGACTGCAGCGCTGAAGTGAAATGGAAAGGGCAACTGCATGTTGATATTGCTTACAGGATTTTATTTTTTTCTGGTTGATCTCCTTGAAGATGCTTTATCAGCTGCTGGAAATTGAAGCATGTGAGGATATGCATGGTGTTTGGGGGTGGTTTCAGCCCAGGTTTAGTGAAGATGAAGTTCAGTATCACCCAACTGCTTTTGAAATGCAGCTTCTGCAGGGCACTTGGTGACCTTAGAGTTGGGTGCCTAAGACAAGTTAGAATCCCTGGTGCCTCTGACCCTCCACAGCATGGGATTTCAGCCAGGGTTGTGTCCTTCAGTGGAAGCCTAGCACAGGGCAGGCTGAGGAGCAGTTCAAGGTCTCTGTGTTCGTAGCACTAAAAGACACCGCCATTGTCTCACACAAATAAATACTGAAGGTCTTATAGGCTGGTCCTGTTCAAGATCCCTCCCAGCCTTTACATGGCCACCCAACTGGGTCAAGGTGCTCTGTGTCTRTGGACACAGGTCTGATGAAGTGAAAGTTGTAACTGTCCAACTTTCCTGATCCAAGCTGTGGATATTTACCTGCCACTCCCGTGAGTCTTCACCAGTTCCTGTCTTTCAGTGAGCTGAGAGCTCGGTAGGAACTCGTGGCACAGAGCCTGCAGACAGACACCCKTGGGGCTCTGCCATGGTGATGCTTCAGTGCCTGCTCTGAGCATCTCTGAAGCAGATCTTGTGGCTCCAGCCTGTCATCCTTGCAGCTGCTCACAGAAGCTGT